AGGGACCTGATCCATCACCCATTTTTTTGGTGTTCTTTATCCTCTAAATTACTATTATCAGGGATCTTAAAAAAAATTCCCCTTTATAATTTCGTAACAAATGATATATTTTATTAATAAATATTAAGTCACTTAAAATTTTTTAATGATGTCAAAAATTTAATAATCTACTGTAAGTAATTTTGTTATTATATAAGAAAGTAATTGAAATTTTAATTTTACTAATTAAAAATTTAATTTTTTTAATTAATTTTGTTAAATAACTAATTCGGGGTATTTATATATATATATATATATATTTAATGTAGGGTTTCTCTACTCTCTCTCTTTGAGCAAGAAACCCTAGCAGTTGGAGGTTCGTGACTGTCAGTCTTATCTCTGATCCCACAAGTATGATCTCTATATTCTTCACAGATCGATTCATTTTCTATAACAACATTTGAAATTTGGATCTATATATGTGAATGGGGCACAATTACTCAAGCTTATTTGTATGGAGCCTCGTTGGATTGGACGAAGGTCCCCACTTCGTACCAAGCCTATTTGTATAGAGCCTTGTTGGATTGGATGAAGGTCCCCACTCCGTACTCAAGCCTATTTGTATGGAGCCTCGTTGGACTGGACAAAGGTCCCCACTCCGTACTCAAGCCTATTTGTATGGAGCCTCATTGAACTGGACGAAGGTCCCCACTCCGTACTTAAGCTTATTTGTATGGAGCCTCGTTGGACTGGACGAAGGTCCCCACTCTGTACTCAAGCCTATTTGTATGGAGCCTCGTTGGACTGGACGAAGGTCCCCACTCCGAAGTGGGCTTTCTCTCTCTACTCTATGGTGGGCCAAGTTAAGGGATCAATCTTGGCCCACTCCCCACTCCGAAGAGGGGAAAGACCATGAGTCTGGCCCTAGCACCACTCCCCACTCTGATGAGAGGAAAGACCATGGGCCTGGCCCTAGCATCACTCCCCATTTCGAAGAAGGAAAGACCATGGGCCTAGCCCTAGCACCACTCCCCACTCCGAAGTGGGTAAGTCCATAACTTGGGCTTCAAGGCTCCCACTCCACGACAGATGAGTGCTAACAGATCAATCAATACCATGTAAAGTAAAAGGCATGTGGTGCCGATGAATGGCGAAACTTGCTCCCCTCTATTAAGGGATGTGCTACCATCACAGCTGAGGACCAGGTGGAGAACGAGGGAGCTTGATGAATAAGTCATACGATCCTTATAAAAGGTAACCTTACTCTCCTTGAAATGGGCGATCTCTTAACTCTAGAAACACACTGGTCTTCTCTATCTTGTCTCTACTAAACTTCGGAACTGACTCGACCGTCGGAGAGGTTTCCGACCAACCCCCGGTCGGGCAGCCTAACTATTTGTTCCTTGTGCAGGCCTTCACCCATCGGTGCACCAGGGTTCATCCATGATGTTCCATCTTACTCTATTGCGGAAACAGGTCTGTACATTTGGCGTCGTCTGTGGAAAACGTTCTCTGATTGCTTTGTGACGAACTTCGACGATGGATATTGAAGGAACCTCGCAACCAGGGATTGGAGAGAAGACTCCAGGAACGGAGACAAGGGTCTGGCCTTCCCTATCGGAAACGACAGCCTAATGGACCACGATAGTCCGACCCTCCATACGACGGAGCGACGTCATGCCGCCGCATATCAGTCATCTCAATGGCTATTAGTCGAGAAAGACCACCATGATTGTGTCATCGACTCGATGAGTTTAGAGATTGAGGAGTTACGTGCTCAACTGAGGAAGCAGATGGCACCTCAGAGTGAGCCAAGGAAGTCCGGAGGGGGACCGTCGCAGCAACGGAGGCACACTCTTCCATTGCCCCTACAACGTGAATGGTCTAACTACAGTCCTGCTCGTGGTGAGCGTAGCCGGCTGATTCTGGTACGCAGTGAGGGAGCCAGTAGTAGGACAAAGAATCCCCGAGAAAACTCTCGCAAGAGACAAAAGTCCATCAGTCATTATTCAGCAATCTCTCCTCTTCCGCGCCGTCGTGACGAGCGACCGCGTGACTTGAAGACATGGTTGAACGAAAACCAAGGGGATGACCGACGGTCGAACAAAGTAGCAGAACGGCGATTAGAAAGGGAAAAGGAACATCTAGATTGGTCCATTCATCAAATAGAGAGTTGTGCTCTGGGCCGACTAGTCTCTTCCCCTCTTTGCACTGAGATTGAAGCAGTGGAAGCTCCTCATAAGTACAATCCACCGAAGTTCATCCTCTATGATGGGAAGTCAGACCCCCTGACTCATATCAACCATTACCGCCAAATGATGTCACTTTGGAATCAGAACGATGCGTTCATATGCAAGGTTTTTGCCTCTAGCCTTGGTGAGCATGGCCTCCGGTGGTATGACAAGCTTCCTCCTCAATCAATCTATGATTGGGCTCAGCTCTCCAAAGCTTTCGTCGCACGGTTTGTTTCTAATAGCCGAATCACGAAGGGATTGGATACCTTGTTCAATACTCGGAAGGATAAAAATGAGTCTTTGCGCGAATACACTCGACGATATTATGAGGCATATGGCGATTTGGAAGAACATGTTTGTAGTGAGCCGTTGGCAGCTCTATACTTCAAACAAAGCCTCCCCCCTTCCCAGAAGCTTAGGCAGTCATTGGCGAAACGACCTGCCTCTGACTTGAAAGAGCTGAGGGCTCAAATAGAGGAGCGAGCCCGTATGGAAGATGACATAGCCTCTATACAAGTGTCAGTTGCAGATGAGGGAGTTAAGGCCTCTTGGCAACATAGGGCCGTACAGCCTAGGAGGGAGGACCAAAGAAAGAGGTATGGCCAAAATAAGCAACCGACCATGCAAACCGAAGAAGAAATGAGTAGATCCTACGAAGCCATAACCATTGTGTTCACGGAGCCAATCTACAAGCTCTTGGAAAAAATCAAGGGACAACCCTACTTCGTATGGCCTCCTAAGATGATAGGGGACCCTACTCAGTGCAACCAGGAGTGGCAGTGCACTACCATCGTGAGAAAGGGTATAAGACGCAGAACTGCAGAGACCTTAAGAGGCATCTTGAAGACTTGGTCATTGCCGGCCACCTCCAGCAATGGATCGATGTGGAAAAGACAAGGGCAAAACAGGGACAACCCCCAACCCCTCTACCAAAGGACCAAGCCTCAAGGCTAGTGATAAACGTTATCCATGGGATGACCGACCCCCAAAGGGAGAAAACCCTTCGTGGTGAGATTCAAAGAGCCACACACTTGCAACAAGTCATGTCAGTAGGACCATTGCTCAAGAAGTCCAGAACGGAAGCAAAGCCCTCTCAATTCAACATTGTGTTCTCCGAAAAAGATCTAGAAGGGATCCAACATCCTTACACTGATGCCCTGATCGAAACCGTCGGTGTGGCGAACAAATTTGATGTGAAACGGGTCCTAATTGATCAAGGGAGCGCCGCTGACATTATGTATTATGACCTTTTCAAAAAGCTGGGTCTTGATGAGCAACACTTAATCCTTGCAGTCTCCCTTTGGTCGGCTTCAATAGACAGAAGAGTGGTCACATGGCCAGATCACCTTGTCCGTCACAGCAAAGTCCAAAGTGGTCCCTGTCGACTTCTTGGTGATCAACACTTCATCTCCTTACAATGCAATACTCGGTCGACCTTGGATTCATACAATGGAGGCAGTGCCATCCACTTACCACCAGGTAGTCTGTTTCCCAACAAAGAATGGGGTGGAGGAGATCAAAGGTGACAAAGTAGTGGCAAAGCACTGCTTCATCGCCGCCATGAAGTCTAAACAAGCATGCAAGGAAGTCCAGATAGTTGGGAAGACCAAGTGTTAGAGTAAACAACATTTTCGGACAGCAACTTTTGCCCAGAGCCGCACGTGCGGCGGGTCTTCCCGCACGTACGGCAGTCCATTTCAAACACCAAAGTTGATTCTGCTAAAAAAGCACGTGGTCCCGCACGTGCGGGACAACACTGTTTCAGCCAACTTCAAATAAGTATATCTCTTGCATCTGGACTCCGTTTTAAGTGATTCTTGAGCCTAAATTCAAGCCCCGGAAGTCTAGTTTTCAATGGTGGTAGTCTCACTCCAAAATTATTAGTAAAAAAATAGATATGCCCAAAATAGTGAAAGTTGTTCACTTTCTGTCTATCGATTTTGTTCCATTTCTTCGTCTAAACTATTTTCCTAACGATTCCTCCTATTTTCTAAGACATGGATTATAACCTATGGAGGACTAATGAGTTTAGAACCACCATGGCTAATTGATTAAAGAGCAAGAAAGAGATTGGTTTTATTCTCATATTCTGCCATGTGCATTGTGTTGTAGGTCAAGACGAGAACATCGTCCCATTACTACCGGAAGCTCATCATTGTGAGTAATAGTAGTGTAACGATATGTTTTATTTACTTCTTGTGTTTATGATTTACATGTTATGGCTTTATAACCTAGCTGGTGAATACCAGAGCTAGTGACATGGTAGCGACTAAAACGTAAATTGCTTGTCTTTCTTTCCTCACCAAGTATAGCATGAGGAGTTCAAGTTACGGAAACTCCGGGTTAAATTTCGTGTATTTTACTTCCATACACCTCGTCTGGTCAATGCAGGAGTTTCATCTTTCACAAATTTACCAAGAAGGACTTCTTAAGTTACAAGCCAAGGAATATGAGAAGGCTCGTGAACTATTAGAATCCGTGTTAAAAGATCCTTTATTTCTAGTGCGCAAGGATCATGTGCTCCAAAGGATCACTAGATCATCATGCAACTTATTGGGTTGTCAATAGTTTCTCACTTTTTCTTTTCTTTGTTTTAGGTGAAAAGTAGTGCCAGTGACAGTCATCTTTTACAACTCAGGTTTAAATTTATCCTCCAATTATTTTTTTTTAATGTAGTTTACTTATAATGTAACGACCCCAAAAATGCGTATTAGAAGTTACCTTTATGTAATTATGGGTTAATGTGCTTTAATTTAATTATATCTGTTCGAATTGAAGAATTATCTATTGAGTTATGACTTTAAAACTGGAATTGACGACCTTTATGGGTTCAGAAATCGAAACTGAGTACATAGATATGTTAATGGGAATTTTGGAGCTATTTAGGGAAATTAATTAGAAATTTATTTCGTTAGATTCGTTAAGGTTTGTTCGGGTGGTTAACTTTGCACTGCAAATTGAAGGCCTTAGAGGCTTCAGAAACCAGAACAGAGTACATAGTTATGATCAGTATAATTTTTAGAGTCATCTGAGGAGTTTAATTGAAATTTGATTTCGTATGATTCGTAAGGGTGCGTTTGGCTCTCCCAAATTGTGATAGGCTTATATATAGTTAAATGTATAGATATATATGAGATATATGAGTTGAACTCAACATTTGAGCCAAAAATATCTAAGGAAGAGGGAGAGAACCGTGAAAGAGAGAGAGAGAGAAGGAGAGACAAAGATTCTCTAAGAGAAGCTCACCATTCATGGGGGTTTGAAGATAATTGAAGAGAATTGAAGAGAGGGGAAGAAGATCAACCATGAAGCTTGGGAAAATTGAAGAGATTAAGGGAAAAAGCAAGGAATTGAGTTAAGGTATGTGACTTTAACTATTATCTTTGTAGATAATTCATCTACTACATGAAATCAAGGATTGACTTGGAAAATTAACATGTAAATGAACAAGTGTGTTGGGTTATAAATGAAATGGGTTAAACTCAAAGAATTGAACCTTGATTTCCTTAAATTTGCTTGAATTGGGTTCAATCTTAAGAATGATTCATGGAATAACAAGATTTGGTGTGAGAACCAACCATGTGTAAGATATATTTACATGATTTTGGGCATATATTGTGGGAGTTTGATTATATAGAAAAGATGAGAGTTGAATTTCTAACTTGAGGCAAAGATTGGTTTGTTTGAGATGAAATTACACTTGAATGATGTTAGTTTATCATGTTGTAGAGTAATTTTACATGTTTTTGGGTGATTAAAGTTGAAACCTATCTTAGAAAATGGAAAAACAAGTGTTAAAGCCAACCAAGATTTTCAAACAGCAAATTTTGCCCAGAGCCGCACATGCGGTGGGGCTTCCCGCATGTGCAGCAGCCCATTTCCGGCACCAAATCTGATTCTGCTAAAAAAGCATGTTGTCCCGCACATGCGGCCCAATTCCCGCACGTGCGGCCCTATTTCCCGCAGGTGTGGGACAGCTCTGTTTTAGCCAACTTCAAATAAGCATATCTCTTGCATCCAGACCCCATTTTAAGTGATTCTTGAGCCTAAATTCAAGCCCCGGAAGTCTAGTTTCCAATGGTGGCAGTCTTACTCCCAAATTCTAAGTACACAAATAGATATGCCCAAATTAGCGACGATTGATCACTTTCTGTCTACCGATTTTATACCATTTCTTTTTCTAAACCATTTTCCTTTCGATTCCTCCTATTTTCCAAGACATGGATTATGACCTATTGAGGACTAATGAGTTTAGAACCACCAAGGCTAATTGATTAAAGAACAAGAAAGAGATTGGTTATATTCTCATATTATGCTATGTGCATTGTGTTTGTAGGTCAACGAGGACATCGTCCCATTGCTACCAGAAGCCCAGCACTGTGAGTAATAGTATAGTAAAGATATGTTTTTCATTATCTATTTTGATTAATGTGTGACAGGATTCTCTAAATATCATATTTTGATAATGTGTGACATGATTCTCTCAATGTCGTATTTTGTTAAAATACACAAGTTTCCAAGAAAAGAAAAATGAGCCATGAATAAGAACTATGCATTGTTTATCATATCATATGGTGGGCCCAAGGCCGTTCTATTTATCTGTTTCGCTTATGCTATGGCATGGTATGAATTGTTCGGCCTTTAAGACCTAATCATTTTGGTATGGAACAAAGTGCTGTACGGAACTAAGTGATATAGTGTGAGTCACCTCTAGAGTCCGTACGAGACACATCTTGCGTCCATACATGCATGAATTGGGCCCAAGGAGAGGTGGAGACGTGTCGATGTTCCATCTACTCCATGATCAGATACAATGATACGATATGATACGTTTGGCCCGAAGGTCGTTTTGATATATGATTGGGCCCGAGGTTGTTTTGTTATATTCATGGACCCGAGGTCATTCAGAACATATGATATGAATACAAAGGTTTTGACATCGCTATATGACTCATGTTATGATGCGTTACTTTATCTGTATGAATGGATGTCCTATTTTAAAATGTGCTTCTAATCTTTTGTATGAGTGGACGTGCCACGTACCACATAAAATGTTTTGTAATAGTTCCATTATATATTCCACTTGAAAGGGGTATGGTTTATGATATGATAAATGGCTGATTTGAAAAGATTTATGATACGTTTCTAAATTGTGAAGTATGTTATCCTAATGTTAAGGACATCATTCATTAACCTCTTTACTTTAGTATTACTCACTGGACGTTAGCTCACCCCTTTTATTTTATATATGTAGGTGAGCCATTAGGGATCAACACTAGAATTGTATCGAGGTCCATCTCTCTTTCAAACCAACCGGGTTACGCCTCCGCATTGAGGCCTAAATTTTTGTATTGGGAATTATGTAATTTATTGAGTCTTATGTAAGTGTGTGTGTGAGATTGGTATAATTCAATGATTATTGTAAGCATGGAAACGTATTTAATTGATTAAGTTAATCTAAATCTTCATGTATGCACAAGCTCAATGGGCATTTTATCTATGTTCGTATTTGCTTCCGCTTAAGGCCCCGTAATTGAATAAATATTATTATGAAATTTTGTTTTGAGGCCTAATCACAGGCTGGTCATGGACTAAACATTTAGGGGCAGGTTTGGGTCGTGACACGAGTGGTATGGTAAGGTTGTGTGGAGTAGGTAGTGAGCTGTGTAAGTTTGTTATTGACTTTATCAATCTTTAGGTGTGGGGGAGGTATTTAAGAATCACTGGTTGATGTATGACTTGACGCGATGGGGTGAGTGTGTATTTTGATCTTTAGGAATTCAACTCAAACTCAAGCGTGGTGCGAAGAAGTGTTACCATGTAGGCATAGGTGCAGGGGATGGGCAAGGATTTGCAGTAGTATCGGCTAACTTGGAAAATCTGGTGTGATTCAATGAGAATGTAAGATTGTGTAAGGAACTCTATCTAAGAGTTGGTTTGGTTAGGCAATAAGTTGGTGTAGTGTTGAGATAGGTGGAGTTAAGGGGTATGTCAATGTTTGGAGGCTGGTGTGGGATAGTAGTATTGGATAGTTGGGTGGTTCGTATTTGGGTTAGTTGACATATAGTCACCACGGGAATAGGATGGAATTGAAGGTTGTGTAATTGAACGGTGTCAAGGTGTGGCATGTAAGTCCTGTATGGACAGTTGGGAAGTTGTGTTGAGTTTGTGGTAAACGGTTTGGGGTTACGGTTGGGAAGTTTGGTCTTATAAGCGCTTTTACGTTATTATATGATTGGTGGGTGTGAAATTTCTTTCTCTTATGTTATTGCATTGCTAATATTTTGAAAAATCTAGAGATTCTCATCATGGAAATATTGTTTTAATATTGTGGCATCACCATGGGTGTGATGGGTTTTGTTGGGTGGCTGTGTTGTGGTTCACCAAAGAACGCTAAGGAATGATATTGCGGAAAAAAAAAAAAAAATCCTTTGGTGTTGTGGCCTTGGGCACTTTTCTTGAACTAAAACAGTTTTGGGTTGGAATTTTTTGGTTTAATAAAAAGCTAAATCCAACAAATCAAAAACAAAATGAAAATGGTTTTGTGTTATAAATAACACCTTTGGTTTTCGGAAAAACAATTTGGAAATCTCTGAGTTCTGTTATGGATGGTTGAAAATGTATATGGATTGTGGCAGTGCGGGTTTGAACACTTTTTAGGAAAGCAAAGTGTTTTGAAACAAATGGGAAAATAAAGAATTTTCTTTAACTTAAATGGGGTATCTTGTATCTTGTATTGGGAAATCGTGTTTTGATCTAGCCTCAATTGATAATTACATGTTGCGTATTTATTTTGCAAGGATTTTGAATTTTTGGGCATTGATGTGCCATAACGTTGCTGGTTGGTTGTGTTTTATTTATGTCTTAGGTTACGAGAAAGTTGACTGAGAGCTTTGTATGTGAGGAGTTTTCTTATTCTCTACACCCAAGCATTTGAGCACTCAGTGGTGGTTTGAGTGTTGTAGGTGATTGGAACGTGGCTGGCATTGTTGAGTTCGAGAGTTGTTGTTGCTATGGTGGAGATTTCTTGTCTTGTAGACCACAACGAGTTATGTGGGTTGATATGATTTTGAATTCAAAGTGACCGCGTGTGATGTGTGTTAGAATTTCCTTGCTTGAGATTTTACTTGTACATTGTCACGTGTTATTGTATCACACATGTTATTTCTTTCCTTCCTTTGCGTGGTTATGGCTCGAGTTCCTTTTATTTTATCGCGTTAGTATTAAGAAGGAGGTGGTCATAGTTGGGCGGGTTGTGGTGCGTTGGTTTTGGTGTTGATTTTGTGTTGTGTGAGAGGGTGTTATGATATTGGGGGTGTTTGGGAACCCAAGTTCAAACACTAAAGAAGCCAAATAGCCTTAAATAGTATCCTAAAGCAATTATTTATATTATTAAAAAAAAAAAAAAAAACAACTGGTAGTGGGGCAGCCTACACTGCCACGTTGACAATGTAGGCACAGTGTTGTGACAGCCTAGTCCCACAAGCTGAAATGACAATTTTGCCCCCTTTAGACCAATTTTGGAAAAAGTGAGGTTAAGGACAAATTTGTCGTTTCAGCATCAAACATCATTTCAAACACATTTTTCAATACAACAACTCAAATAAAAATCCATCATATCTTCCCAAACACAAACTAAAATAACCTACTAAAATAGCCAAAAAAAGCTAAAAATAGCCACTTCCCAAACACCCACATTATTTCATTTCAAGGACGAAATGTCCTAAATGGGGGAGATTGTAGTGGCCTGGGTTGAGAAAGCCCTCTACCAATTTAGTTTCTGGTTGGGACACGTTGATGTCCAGCGTTTTCAGTCTTGTTTGGTGGTTGTGGACCTTGGGAGTGGTCCGGGTTAGTTGTTGGGCAATAGCCCAGTGTTTCTGGGTAAGGCAGGTCGCACTCGCAACCATGCCGCTCACGCCTGTGACCATGCTACCTAGGCAAGTTGATCCTGCTGTCTTTTAGTTCGCGCTCAAAAATATCTGTTTTTGATCTCTTTTTCCCCTCACTCTTTTCTAGTCCACCATTTTTTTCCTTTTTCAAGCTTCCAAGCTTGGTTTCATCTACCTCTAGTCACTTTCTACCCCTAGTCCCTGATATCAAAACGTAGAGCTCGGTGAGGGCTTCCATTTAATCTGAGCAAATTGTATTTTCGTCACCGACGATTTTTTCAGCTTGTTTCCTTCTTGCTTCAAGAGGTAGGGTTTATTTCTTAAACTCGACGTGAGTTTGGTAGTGTATTTTAATATGTAGATTTCATTATTTTGGGGTTGATTTTGGAAATTTGTTTTATGAATTGAGGGTTTGTTCCAAATGGGGTTGTTGAGCTATAGTTTGTCTACAAAAAAAATCTATTTTCCATTTACAAAGATGCATATGTGTTTTTAGAAGTAAAAAGCCTTGATTTGAGAAAAACTTAAAAGATAATCTTTTGGAAATTATTGGATTTTCGAAAAAATGACTTGATTGGAAAAAGGTGTTATGAGATTTGGAAAATACCGAGAGTTGGATACTCTTTTGGAAATTCTTTGGAATCATGACTTTAATATTTTTGGATTTGTATATTCAGATTGTTGTCTTTTTATTTATTGTATTAGAGATAACTATTTTGGTTGTCGGTGGAGGATAGCATTGTCGTGTTTTAAAACTATATGTAGACAAGGCAAACTAAATTGTTTATGAATCGTGCATATCATGGATTTTGAAAGGGATTTTGGAACTGGAACTATGTATTTTGTAAAAGGCTATTTTGGAAATTCTCGTGTCATGTATTAAGAACATTTGTTTCATTTTGAAAATTATGCTTTGGATCTTGTGTATTGTGTTATCGAACAATGGTAATTAAAATGGAAAAGCTGTAAGGGGATGTTAAAGCAGAATTAAGTTGGCCTGTGTGTCCTTAATGTAAGACTTAAACCCGCGCGATAGGTGTCGAGCCTTCCGATTAATACCGGTAAAAATGACATAGTAACTTGTATAGTTATTATTATAAACACTAGCCCTGGAGATTTACCCATTTTATTTATTATCGCTTTGATTTTAAAAAGAAATGTTTTGGAAATGGTTTTAGCAATGTAATTGTGGTTGTTTAGAGATGTGTTCTCATTTGATTTGGTAATGTATTTGCTCATTGGTATTGAGATACCAGGATTTGTTTTTGGAAATTTCTCTTTTGTTTCAAAAAGATGTTGCAAACTCGAGAAACATTTTGAATAAATGTAAGGTTTTGGTAACTGGAAAGAAAGGATTTTGTTGAGAAAGAAAGTGGATTTGGAAAACGCATTTGGGCTTATTGTATGTATGTATTGCATCATGATCATTTATACTAGTGGAGCATATTTAGCTTTTGAAATATTCTCTACTGGGCTTTTTTCTCATCCTATGTAGTTGAAAATGTTTTTCAAGTATACATGTGTGGATGTGGTGTGAGACATGAAGTTGTGTTGGAACTATGTAGGGTGGTTCTTTTATTTGTAGGCCTATTTGTAGGCCATGGGCCATTCATGTTATTTATTAGCTGTGTGTCATTCTTGTAAGGGTTACACCCTTGTATTTAATGTAAGCCTTTGGGCATTTCAATTTAATAGATAACACCTTTGCATGTTTTAGTTCAGAACATCCATTCGACTTAAATTGTTAGATCTAGGAATGTATGAGAGTTGTTTACGTGGGCTGGACCGTGTAAATCCGGGGCGATTTGCCCTTCCATTTGTCATCAAGTTTGTACAATGTTTTGCTTAGGGCCTTTACTTTTTGACTCCAACTTTCATTTCATGCTTGCGTCTCTCTTCCTCTCTCTAAGTCCTCTTGTCTCTCTCTCTCTCTCTCTACGATACATTTAGATGACGATCTAAATAACGGTGAGATCAAAGCCTCACGATGATGATGTCAAGACCTTACCGGATATGCATGTGTAACCTGTACAACAATCTCCAAGCCTACTAGAAATGGGTCCAACCAGATCGATGGTGTCAAATACTTGTTCGGTGATCTCTACTTCGAAACCTTGGTCCTCCATTGAAGGTTGTTTTAGATTTCAACCCATTTTGTGTCAAGTAATTCTCTTCATTGTTACATGCAATGTTGTTTTAGTTAGCTAGAAGTCATATACATGCATTACTATATAAGAATGTTTCGTATGAGAATATGATTGTGTGTTTATATACTAATCATCTCCAATCCTTCATCTTTTTCTTTCATCAATGTTCATCAAATCAAGGGAGAGTCAATTTTTTTTTATCAAATTGAGAACTCATCAAATCATTTATCAAATTTGATGAAGATTTAAAAAGATAAGCATTGGAGATGAATTTATTTATTTATTTATTTATTTTTTATAAATAAAATTTAGGGAAATTGGGGATAAGAGAGGAAATTTTAAAAAGATTTTGATGAAAATTTGATGAAAAGATTGGAGTAGTTCATATCAAATCAATTTTTTTGCTCAAATTTAGAATCAGAT